ATACCTTTCATATTGGTATCTTGCGACTGATCATTGTTGCAAATAGAAGAATGGAGAATACTTTTGTTTTGAGATTTTCTTCTATGGACCCTATAATAGAGTAATTTAAGATCTTCCTCCCCGTTTTTTAACAACTTAACTTTGGATCTCTAAATGATCCTTTTGGCCCGCAAAGAGTTGTAATAAGCATAATCCAAATTAATTTTCTTGAGGTAGCCACAAAGGTTGACATTGAGGGGATTTGAGTCAACATGAAGTTGGTATTGGTTTTGCAAAAAGGATATCTTAGCACACTTAGTCTCTAAATGACTAGAGTTAACCCATCTCTTGGACTTAATCTTCTGCTTCAAAAGATTAAGATTATGATAGAGAGAGTTAATAGGGTTGCCTTGAAGAGGGGAGGCAAATATCGAGATCAGAATATTCCAAAATTTAGGGATTTGGCACTAGTAGATTTTGAACATAAATCTTTTACTAGTTGTCTTCTCCAAATTCTTTTTGAGGATAAGAGGCATGTGATTCGAAACCAAACTATTACAGACTTTGTAGAAAGAATTCGAATAAGCAGATATCCATGAATCATTAATGAGCACATGGTCAAGCTTTAAATGTATAGGGTTGTCAGCCCTTTGATTGAAACAAGTGTAGAAATTACCGGATGAAGGAAGGTTTGCTAGCTTGGTATCAAAAATAAAAGAGTTTAAATGCACCAACCTAGATGAATTGATAACATTCCCACCATACTTTTTAGAGGGAAACTGACAGCAGTTAAAATCTCCTAACACAGCCCAAGGCAAGCCATTATTAGGAGAGATATGCCTAAGCTCATCCCAGAGGAGATTGCGTTCCTCAAAGGAATTAGATGCATAAACCACCAATATAAGAAATGGAGGAAGGTTCCCATTGTAAACCATGCCCACAATAACCTGCTTAGAAATAAAAGTATGAGAGAAAGTGTGAGACCTCGTTCCCTTACTGTTCCTCTATGGCTTGGATTTTCCTCCCAGGATCGTCCGGGACGATAGTGAGATCGTCCAGGCCGATCTGCACTGTTCAAAATATCGTCCTGAAACAAGTTCTGGGAACCGTCCAGGACGATCGATTTTGGTCTGATCGTCCCGGGACGATTTGGCGATCGGCCGGGCCTATCAGCTTAATGATATAAGAAAATCAGCTCGTTTTGAGGAGAGAGAAAATCATTTTTAAATCAAAATATCTGATTTTAGAGAGAGAAAGAGAAAGGGAAAAAGAGGAAAGCTGGATTTTGGAGGCCGCGGAGCGTTTTTCGTCCGACGCAGCTGTTGGGAAAAGTGAAGATCTCGTGGTAAGGACTCCGAATTCTATTTCTGTTTTCAAAGATATTGAGTTTTGACCGAGTTGTGATCTGTTTTGTGTTTTCGTAGTCAAACTTTTGACATGATTTTGATTTGGCATAACTTTCACCGCACAACTTTTAGTATGTTATAGATATGACTATTGTACACGATTTGAGTATTTTCTGCGATGATTTTACCGGTCGGAATTGATTCTACGCGATTTTAATCGAATAGAAAATAATCCG